AACTTATCTCTCCTTGTTTGCCGTTTTAGGACTTCTGTACTATCCATTATATTAAACATTGATGCAAAAGTCAATAAACAGATACATTTATATATCATTATCTCCCTTCCAAAGACAAATTAAATATTTCCTCCAGAACAAGTATATGTACCGTGACCGATAGCTAGTGAGGAGTGTAGCTTTGCCTACAATTTCGCTGACGAAGCATTCCACCTCAATCCACTCTGCTCTAGCAAGTTAAAAAGAAAGATATCATTGAAACAGCAGGGCAACCTTAGAAATGGATGGTTGAAAATACAGGATAGGGGCACGCAACGAGGAAGGCTATTAGGTATAAGAATACGGAAAAAAAATTATTAAGTCATGGTAGATGGGAATCTGTCGGAATATCGTCGTTCGTCAATTTTTGATGGTAGATAAAGTAATAAATGGAAGAAAAATCCGACGTATTCGAAGCTAAGTCGGATGGGTATGGGTATGGGTAGGGTAAAATGGAAGATAGAGAGGGGAAACAAGTCCAGTCATGAAACAGGGAGATGAAGATGAACAAAGAAACTACACTCAAAGGCGAAAAGGTATTAAATGTAAGCTCGGCGGACAAACATATAAAGCAAATTAGGGACTTAGGGGAGAAGTAAAAGGAGGACAGGAAGGGGGTTGCGTGAAGGGCAAAGAGGTTAGGAAAGGCAGCATTATCACATAACACAGCATACAGGTGGAAAAAGAATTTTAACTAATAATTAAAAATGCGAAAAATTCACATGAAAGTGGTAAGAATCACAAGACTTCCAAGATATGAAAAATGGAATCCCAAATAACGCCACAGATGCATAATATAAATCAATTCGAGAGCAGTCGGTCACATACAGAATGTAACTCAATATCCATCAATTGTTTCCTGTCAAACACTATTTTGTGCAAAGGAGATAACCCAGTTTTTCAAATGATATTGGGAAGAGAATTTCAAACAAGATGACAGATAAATCTGGGAGGTTTCTTCAGTGTAGAAGTATGATAAATCCATCAAATTGGTTTGCTTCATGCTCAGACCGGGAATGAAGGGGCAGTAAAGGGTGGTTGTTCCCATTGGGGAGAGTGGCATGAACTCATAAGATTATACAACATGAGCTTCTGTCCTTTTCAAAGGTTAAAAGGGCTGCACGGGTTGCGGCTTCGAAAACGTCATCCACACCTTCGCCGGTAAGAGATGAACATTCTAGGTATTTTCTTGCTCCGATCTGGGTCGCCGTATCATGGCCTTCCTTGGGCGAGATGAAACGCAGGGATTTCTTCCTCATTTCTTCAATTGCATGGGGATCTTCACGCAGATCTTTCTTCAGGCCCACAAGTATAATTGGTACATCAGGGCAACGCTCGTTTGCTTCTTCAATCCACTATATTATATTTGTTATCAGCAAGAGCAGGAATTAAACACTGAGATAAAGACCTTGCTACCCTCAGCAGGAAGGGAGGAGCTCACCTTATTTCGAACGTTCTCGAGAGAATCTGGCGTATCTACAGAGAATGCGATTAGGAGGACATGAGCCTTTGAATATGCCAGGGGGCGCAAACGTTCGTAGTCTTCCTGTCCCGCAGTGTCCCACAGAGCCAGCTGAACTGACCGGCCGTCAACGCGACAATCCGTGACATAATTTTCAAACACAGTAGGGACCTTTTCGATTGTGCATTAAGTTAGAGGTCATGATAGCCAAAAAGATCCCGTATATTTAACACGTAGTGGCGTATACTCACGTAGTGCTGAGTTTGGTAGATTAGTTAAAGCTGCCAGACCACTATCTTAATTTGACAGGGTAGCAAAAAACACTTACCGTGGGGAAATAGCCAAGGGTAAACACGCTCAAAAGACTCGTTTTGCCACAGGCACCATCACCTATTATCACCAGCTTCCTGAATAATTATTTGTTAGCTCGTTTGACGAAAATGTCGGCACAAACCGTGCAAAACTCGCACTGGGCCCAGCTCAGAATGCAGCAATAATTGCAGATATAATGCGATAAAACTTGATACACCTATCCAGGAGGCCCATATCCAAATGATCCCAACCTGAACGTATCCCTTATCCACATACCTTCTCATAACATTGTCTGTCTGTTGTTGTGCCATATTTGTACAAGTCTGGATTTGCCGAACCAAAAACTAACAAACAACTAAAACAAAACCTTTGAGATGGAGTCTCCCTTAAATAGTCCTTCAAGGATTGCTTTTTTGAGAAGTTTCGACAAAAGACAAAGTCAGGTCGGTGGGCCGCGGTGAAAATTGTTTAAAGAAAGCGAGAGGTAGCTGGACTGAGCGGAATAGTAGACCAAATGGGTGCAACAGGTTCGGCTGGGGGGCAAACGAGGATGGAGGAATGCCAGTTGTCTAGCAAATACACAAACTGCGAGCTTCTGTTCGGAGAAGTGTTTGACAACGAGAACAGACCAGCTGCCCGTGTGTCGAATGGAGGCTAAGGTCCGACACGATGATGGGATGATGGCGCGAGACGGGAGTGGAAAGAGAATGGTTTGCCAAGAGAACGTGTTCAAGGTATATGTTGCAGTGTCAAAGAGTACTTCAACCAAAGCTAACGACGATGCGGACGTGGGGATAGAGGGGGTTGCCGTTGATGGTCTCGGGAAATTTATGTGGAATGCTTTAAAGCAGGGAGGAAATCGGTTTGGGCCAGGGTGTGTGAGCGAGGGGGCTGAGATCAATGTTTACATCGAACTGATCTCGAATCGAACGACTCTGATTCTTGATAAGCGCAATCGAGGGGGGAAATGGAAAAGAGACTTGGAGAGAAAGAAATAATTAATAACACAGGATGTATATCAATTAACAAGATCCATTTTATCATTCCCCATGGTGTACCATCCTCCTGTTTCTCTTTCATCTGGGCAAAGGAGCTTCGCTTACGGCGTCTAATCGAAGTCACGTGACCGACGCTTCAAACCACTCACAAGGGCAGCACATTCCAGTTTGATGATGATGATGATGATGCTGGAGCCAGATCTCTAACCGCTTAAGTCTGCCCGATCCCAACCAGCATAGTAGCAGATCGATGTCGGGCTCTGATCTGCATCCGATCTAACAGCCAGAATCCTGGTAGTCTTACACCAATTCTTTAACTTTTCTTGTCCCTCCTCCTTTCCCCAATTCTCTTAACTTTAGTCCGGCTTCCCCCTCCAGTCTCCTCCACCATTCTTCTGCCGCCGGGGTCTTTATTTGCACTCACCATTCACCCAGAGCAGGCCACATACCATTTGAGTCCGCCTGTCCGCGCTTCTTTTTCTCCCCCTCTCTCGCCGTATACGCTATCTTTTAACTTTGGTCTGACGACTCTGCTAGATCAGACAGAATCATGCCATCGAACCAAAAGCGTGCGGCGCAGTCGCGAACAACGATATCCAAGCCTCCAACCACTACAAATACATCTAAATCTATGTCGCCGAGATTGTCACCTCCAGTGGCTAATAGCAATGACACTGCAGGCGCTGCAAAGCAAAATAACGGCTCCAACTCGGCTTCGCTTGCGAATTCGAACTCAGATACAACTGCAAATCACGCAGTTGCAAACCACGTTACTCCAACATCCACACCTGGAGTGAATCGGAAAAAGCAGAAGAGACGACAGAAACAAGCGGCACGTCTAGCTGCAGAACAGCAGCTTAAAGATGAACATCCCCCAGCAGGTACTAATAGCCAGAATGGTTACACCCGTAACACACAATGGGGCGATCCCGATGTCCCACTCCATTCGAACCAATACTCCTCTTCTCCTCTCAACCAAAATTATTTCGGCTCTCACGTCGGCGATCCAAACCACTACGACCCTGCCCAAAACGACGATCTCTATTCTACCGACGATGACGGCCATCTTTACGCGCAGCGGCATTCTCAAACCCATCCGGATAGGCGTAGCATGGATCAGCATTCCGAAGCTAGTGGGAGCAAATCCAAGAAAAAGAAGAGTAAAAAACACCGTTCTACCGGAAGCTCAACATCCGTGTCGACCCAACGGACGTCTACCACACGACCCGCTGCGCCACCTCCACCTCCGCTATCTAACGCCGCACTTCGATCCGCCCATAAAATATCGAAGGACAGGATATGGAACACATCGACCCAGGAGGAACGGGAAAATATCAAAGAATTTTGGCTGCAGCTGGGTGAGGAGGAACGGAGATCACTTGTAAAAGTCGAAAAGGAGGCTGTTTTGAGAAAGATGAAGGAGCAGCAGAAGCATTCATGTAGTTGCACTGTATGCGGGAGGAAACGGACGGCCATCGAAGAAGAGTTGGAGGTTCTGTACGATGCATACTACGAAGAACTTGAGCAGTACGCGAATCACAGCCAATCCTCCTTCGAAAATGGCGGCCCAATTGTCCCTCCCCGATTATATCAACCACCACTTCGCCCGCTAGATAGGCATCCCCACCTTGCGAATAGCCAACTTCCGCCGAGGGGCAGAGTTCAAGAACTGCCTGATGATGACGACCTAGAGGAGGACTACGACGAAGATGACGAGGAAGACGAGCCGTACAGTGACGATGAACTTGAAGAGGCTGCTCGTAGCAGTGGGGCTGACTTTTTCGCGTTTGGTAACAGTTTGACGGTTAAAGGTGAGTTTACTTATCATATGAATATCCTCGATCGATTACGGCTAACCCTTCACAGACGGTATTCTCACAGTGGCAGATGACTTACTTAAAAACGACGGCAAGCATTTCATTGATATGATGGAACAACTAGCTGAACGGCGAATGCAGCGGGAGGAAGACACGCAGTATGCTACTGCTTCTGCCGCACATCAATCTCTACATGCTGGTCATAACCACGGACCTCCCCTCGACGAGGAAGATTATGAAGATGAAGAAGACGACGATTACGACAGCCAAGATGATGAGGACTACGAGGAAGATGAGATGGTTTGTGTGAACACACGTCGTTTGGTTTTAGGTATTCAAGCTAATTGTCCCTTACTTCATAGGATGCAATGACAGAAGAACAGCGTATGGAGGAAGGAAGGCGGATGTTTCAAATTTTTGCTGCTCGAATGTTTGAACAGCGTGTCCTAACTGCATACCGAGAGAAGGTTGCCCGCGAACGCCAACTAAAACTTATTGAGGAGCTAGAAGAGGAAAATAGGTTAGACGTCCAACGCGAGGCAAAGAAGGCAAGAGAGGCTCAGAAGAGAAAGGATAAGAAGAAACAGCAGAAACAAGCCAAAGAGGAGGAGAAGGCGAGGAAAGAGGCAGAAAAGGCTGCTGAAGCTGCTGCTGCGAAAGCCATCGAGGAGAAAAAACAGGAAGAACAACGACGAAAGAAAGAGGAACAAAGAAAGAAGAGAGAAGCTGAGAAAAAGGCTCAAGAAGAGGAACGTCATACGAAAAGAAGCCGAAAA